CACTGTGAAGCCCAAAGTTTCCAATTCTGGTGAGCTGAACATGCATTTGGAAGCGCGAATTGACACGTTCTTTTGGCCGAACCGCTCCAGTAGTTTGAGGAGTCTATCTCTATGCTCGGTCTTTATTGTACCAGACACAATGACGTCGTTCATGTACGCTAACACGCCATCAAGCTCGCGGATGACTTCGTCAATCGCTACCTGGAATATACCTGAGGATGTGTGGAGACCAAACGGTAGGAAGTTGTATTGATATAGTTCCTACGGTATGTTGATGGTGGTGAATTGCCGGCAGGTTGGGGTGAGAGGAAGCTGGAGGTATGCATCAGCCAAGTCGATCTTCGAGAAGCATGTGTGACCACGCAATGCTTTCATGAAATCCTCCGGTTTCATGGTGGTAGCCGTATACTTTCGCAACCGCGGGTTGAGGGTTAATCGGTAATCGCCACAAATTCGCGGTGTTTTGCCGTCACTTTTGATTGCGATCACGATTGGCGTTGCCCACATACTGGATGTGACTCGTGTGATTATGCCATCGCGCTCCATTTTCTCAAGGGCCTGTAGTACGCCATCACGCTGGCCATAGGGGATTACCCGTCGTTTCATGAAAATGGGTTCACGATCAACTACCAGTTTGGCCGGCTGTACGTTCATACCCCCTTATTACTGGAACATTTCACGACCAGGTACTGTAGACGGGTCTGCATAATGGACATAGAGTTTGTATGGAACGACACAGAATGGTTCAGTGCACGAATGGCGGTTAGATCAAGTATGGATGCTCTGATTTGGCAATTAGGAAGCGAATGGGAACAAGGCGATGTTCTTTGGAATGTACCATCAATGAAACCTCACCAATCAATGGCAGTTTGTGTCCAGTCACACAAAGGATTCGCATGGACGTCGGATGAATTTCGGCTTGGGGACACATTGACCGAAGCACAACAGTGGAAATGATAGATTCCGTGCTTCCCGTGTCAACGATGAATTTGTGCTTTGTGTCGGACTGTAGTGTCACATCTTCGTATAGGAATTGGGTGCATTGGCTTTCGGATCGTACAGGGAGTACAAGGTTGGTGTCATTCGCAGCAGTTGGCTGTGCAAGATTGTACCGGGGCTGTTTACACACTCTCCGAATGTGGCCATTTTTCTCGCATGCATGACACTTGGCATTTCGGAAGCGGCAATTGGAGCGCAGATGGTAAGCTTCACATGACAAACACGGATTGATACGTTTCTCGTTGCCAGAAGGGTCTTACTGCAGTGCGGTGTGCACTTGGTCATTTGACGTCGGTTCGGTCGTGTCTTCTGCCGTTGAAATAATGCGACTGATTCCCTTGAACTAGTTTTCATCAGGTAGTCGTTTTTTCTCCCAGATCTTGCGGGCATCGGCAAAAGTCAAATCTTTCTTCTCCAGCAACTTCCGTCGAAGAGTCAGATTATTGATGCCTGCCACCAGGCGGTCACACATTTGTTCTTCCAGGCGATCACCATAGTTGAAGCGTGATGCTTGGATGTTCAGCTGCAGCATGAATTCACGGCAAGAAACATAATCGGCACGAATCATAAAGTTGAATTTGGCCCTTTAATGGGCTTGGAATTCAATGGGTAGCAGGTGGTTGAGCACCAGTCACTTCAGGGACTCGTATGGTAGTTTAGCCGGAGCCTCAGGGAACGCCAGGTTTCTCAACAGGGAGTACGGTTCACGGCCGCCAGAAGTAAGAAATAGAGATGACTGATTCTGTGTATCACCTTTGCGAATGCTGCACCACGGCTCGAATCGTTCGACCTATTCCTCGATCTCGGATGGATTTGCTTGTAGGTTCAGTTCCTCAATCGTTGGGAGCTCCACCACGCGACGTCAATTTGTAATGATTGTAGTAAACGTAGTAGTACGCACGGAATTCGGCACACCAAACACGAAATGTAAATCACAGAACCCGATTCAGTAATCAGCTATCACGGACTGGATCTCAGAAGCACTGGACCACAATAGCACGGATTCACAATGTCCCACGAGAACGAGACGCGAGGAAAAGGTCACAGGAATGGCAGTAATTAGTAGTTCATTCATTGGAAAAAATGAGGGCGATTGTATAATATGTACAAAAGAAGATTATTGGTTGGCTAAGTTTCCACCAATCGGATTGCAGTACTGCTTGCATAATTCTACTTCTGTCTGCACTGTCTTGATTGGCTGGCACCATCCACCAGTGACGTGTATTCAGAAGCCATGCGCCTGTCATTGACGCCAGCATTCAAATTTGATGCGCCGCTCCAAGTAGGCGCCATCGCGTACGCCCTGATCACCACACTTATATCAGCAACAACCGGTGCAAGAACGTGAAGCAAACATTTTCTTATTCCACTGGTCTCATATGTGCCCCCGTACATGAATGCCAGCTAAAGCACCTCAGTAACTATCGGTCGATTATCTTAGCTAACATTTATATTTCTCCTTCTTTTTCCTCAGAGGATCTTCCTAATTTTTCGGATACTATTCCCATAACTTTATCGAGTTATCTTGATTTATCGCTATGTATCGTTTTGTGGTGATTTTAATCGCGTCGATATTTCATTCTTTCTGTTCTGGGTTTGCCAAACAGTAAGTTTCTCAACAAGACTAAATGCTCATTAAGACAAGTGTTTTATAAATTATACTAGCATGCTTTTCGCATCTTCCCGCTCCCCTGTTGGGTTTTCGACCATGCCCTTATTAAAGTTTCCCAAATAGTGATAACGAGGTCAATCACATATCGTTCACAAAAAGGCGTGGAAAAAAAAGAAGAGAACGTCAATGTAATCAGAAGAACCTAGAGAAGCCCAATGTGATGGTCTCTCAGATGGACTTCACTGTGTTCGACAACCCCAATCCTTCAAATTACTGTGATCACGTTACACAGTATCTAAACTTCTGCTACAATTTATGCTGCCCCGGGAGACGCTAATACCTTCGGTGTGACCGCATCTCGTCTCTCCATCTGAAGCAGTTGCATCGAAGCAAGGAAAGGGCATACAAAAGCAAAGATCTTCAAATTGTGAAACTCTTAACTCTTTCTATCAAAGGTGAGCTACATCGACTGATAGGCATTTACACTCCTACACTCCTACAAAACAAAACCTGCCGGGAAACCTGGGACACCGTCAAGCAACTGAGTGATCAATCCTCAATCGTGTCTCGAACAGCAATAGACGTTGAGTAACTAAATAGAACATTCAACAAAAGTACCAACAAAATGGGGACGGAGCCAATCATCACCAGCGCAAACATCGACCCCAGCAATAAAGAACCCTTCAGTATTCAACAACAGAATGTTCTGAAACAGTCTCTGACACTCAAACCCAATTAATCACCCGGTCCCTATAGGTTGGGGGCTACCATCCTTAAGGAGTGCGCTCATACACTCTCGTCAGTGCTCCTAGCTCTGTTTAACCAGTGCTCGGAAAACGGAATTAAACCGGATTGTTGTAAAGCTGCCTCCATCACTCCAGTGTCTAAAAGGTGCACCTCGAAATTCCGTCCCATTGCATGTTTTGTTGAAGCTTTTCGAGAAGTAACTCCTTCAAGGAAAGTCATCTCAGCTGAATTCGCAGGACCAAAACCAATTTGCATACTGTCGCTCTCGCTCCACACTTGATGCATCAGCTTCTCTGGTTCACTGCATTCTGTCAGCACTTGATGGAAACAAGAAAGCTATCAGAATTTGTATTTTGGATTACAGTGACGCCTTCAATTATGACGACAGGTCTATGCTGTTAAATATTTTGTCTTCAAACGGAATATCACAAACCATTATTGCAGTACTCACTAATTATTTCACAAATCGATCACAGTTCACACGTTACCTTGGTCGTTCCTCCTCTTCCTTACTTTCTTCACCAGGGGTATTGCAGAGTGCCGTTCTATCCCCGTTTTTCTTATATTTCATCCATGCCTACTTTACAAAATTCCCTGCTAATTAAATATGCGGACGATGTTGTGGTCGAAATCGCCCACCCTGATGCGTCTGTCACCCCCACTCTCCAACTTGGCTCTACTAACCTTCCTGAGTGGTCCGCCGAGCATAACCTAACTCTCAATCCCTCTAAATGTGTAGACATGCTGTTCTCAGTTCACAGAGGTAATTATTATGCCAATCTCTTGGACTTCTGTCCCACGTTAAACATATACGAGGATACCATGGTCCAACCCTTAAATGTCAAGTNTAAGTAGCCAAAACGTATGCTGGTCTGACCAAGTTGTTTATGTACTTGGAAAGGTCATGAAACTATCATTATATGTCTTACGACTGGAAACGTTATCCATCCCTCGCTTCTTGAATAAACGTTTTCTTTTTGCCTGTGTCTTACCATTTATGGTTTTACTGGTCCCCAGTAATCTTTCCAGGGATGCCGAAAAAAGACTTTAAATTGCTTTCCAGATCATTAACACATTTATCAAGCAGTAGCAGGGTTTCCTGTGAAACTACCTGTCACTTCATCATTTCCCAACCTGCAAAGTCATGCTTCTCGTTATCAACAAAAATTATAGATAAACCTTCACATCCCCTACCTCAAGATCTTATTAAGTGTGTCCTCCTCTTCCACCCGGTCCCGCTATAATTGTATATTTGCACGTACGACCGCCTATTGGTCTTCTGTGGTGCCCTACCTTGCCCGATTTCTTGTAAGCCCAGAACGCATCATTTTGGAACTTAACTCAGTCATCTCGTAAATTGTTTTCTTTTTCATTGCTTACGACAATTCTGTTATAATTTTGTTCGATAATTGTTGGTTGACTATGTGAATGATGAATGTCAGTCTTTCTGGGTGCATAAAGAAAATACTTCACTTGATTTGACATGAAATATGCCGAGGCACTAGTCGTTCAAAATTGTTATCCCAGACTGTGTAAACAGCGTGAATGTCTTATCAATCTGGCGCTACTTTTGATAACAAATGTGTTCAGTGAGTACTTTTGACCGCAATCTTTCTCCGCCTATGATTCTGTTATTTACTGACCATATAATAATGATCACAGACTGCAGTATGCGTGTGTACAGATACAGCGAAATGATCCAGGATACATTGTGCAAACCTGTGCTTGTGACTTCTTTACTCAAATTCATTACGGGGAAACTATGCTTCCAAATTCTCAAACGTTATGAATGTGATCAATGAGTCGAAAAAGTTGATTAAACATAGTTGATTCCTACCTTTTCATTAGTTCGATGACGGCGTCAAAGAGATAACATGGTTAAAATGAGAATATATTAATGTTACATTTGTTTTTAGTTGGTTCTATCAATATGGTAACGCTAGGCACGTTGAGCACGTTGCCAACATTTTGGATTGAGTGTGAGTCGTGTGCACGTCTCACTGGACCTTTAGGCTCATATTTGTTCTGGATTTACCCTATCATTCATGTCGTTTGGAAAACCCTTTCCAAGGACAACCTGTCGTGAGTGCGTTTATGCTGGGTCGCGTGTACATGCTGGTTGGACACCCCAAGGAGGGTTTCGTTTACGGCATTCTGACAGCGTTATTGGCATCACAAACTCGGATCGTGGTACCCGAAATTAAACTCCTGGTGTGAATCACGTAATGGTGGTAACGACGGACTAAGTTCTACACGTTACACGATCATTATTCATTTTGACGCTATTTTCGACTTTGATCACTTTTCTCATTTAACTCACAGTTACTTCTGAATAAAATGGTGGTCAGTTCTAATCGATCAATTATAAAGGTTTTTATTTAAATAATGCTACTATTGTACCGTGATTCGAATAACTTTTAGGATTATCTCTGTAGTGTATTGAAGGCTGATTACGCCGAATTAGTGATAGCATTATAGTCTATAGTATTCATATTAATGCGAAAATCTCTTTTTCTTCATTGGCCGTATGTCCGGAGTGTTTGTGAATACTTAATTTCAACGACGGGTGCGGATGCTTAGGTTTTGAACGACAAAGCCTCGGTAAGAAAAACATTTCGATCCCCAGTTGGATAGATGGATTCGCACTGCTGATGAGAAGCAACTGGGTCTAAACAGCTCTCCAGTATTTCCCAGCTTTTCAACTCACGCCTCATTTCCACGACGAACTCATCATAAAAACAGCATTCGAATTTATTTATAAAAATGACTCAAGGCATTGTGCAGGTATCGAATTTTTATTCGATGTATTTGTACATGAATATACATATATATATATTATAAACTTTAAGTAGTCGACGTTAAATCACGCCCTCACTTCATTCAGTGGTCTTTTAGGCAACGAAGACGCAAGATAAAGGTAAACGGGAACGAGATACATTACGTTTATCTTGGTGTGTATATGTGGGATGTTGTAGCATGTGAAGGATTTTAACTCATTTTACATATCATTTGTATCGTCAAATAAATAAAGTGGATACACGATTTTGACACTCGTTTTGCAAATTTTATGGTTAGCATTGCTGCTTTCAGAACTCTTAGTGACTGTTATTTGGACGCACAAAGGCGATCGGAGCTATACAACCAATATTATTAGAAGTGTGCGCAAGCATAAATGGCTGAACCGAATAAAAAGACAGAGGGAAATAGCA